TCCCACAATGAGAAAAATGCTGAGAGTCACACTGAGGCCTCTTCTTAGGACCCCACTGGAAGGAAAACGCCTCAGCGAGTGGGGTTCCTTCGTTATAGATTATTATTGTTATTATCATTTTTTTTTTATTTATTACTATTATGTTTATGATCATTATTTGAGTTATCAGTGTTATTGGAATACTATTCATAATCACAGACTTACAGCTTTCTCTTCCATCCTAGCTTCATTCGCATTCAACAACCTACCTCAGGAAATGCCTCAGTAGAAGCCAGTCGAAGAAAGTCTCAGATCAAAATGATGCGCATGATTGCGATGTCAATTGCCGCCTTCGTGTTAAGCTGGTCGCCATATTGCCTGGTCAGCATTATCGCCACCATCCGGGGTACGAATACGTTAACACCTTCAGAGGCAGAAGTCCCGGATTTACTCGCCAAAGCCTCTGTAATCTACAACCCCATAGTGTACACGGTGATGAATGACAGATTTCGAGCAACTCTCCTACGCATCATCCCCTGCAACAGCTTTTTCTCAAGGGAGGTCAAGCCAACGTCGGATTCCGTTTCCAGGTCAGCCGGGTCCATTATCGACAATGCCAATTCTTTTTCTGAAAAAAGAAGATCGCAGAAATACCAGAGCGAAGTTTTTTAGGAGTCTGCATTGTTCTTCAGTGTGGCTAACAGACGTCAAGAACTTAGAAGTACGCCTTAAGGATAAATTAAATAGTGATGAAATAATCATTTCAGACAGTTTTGAGTGCAGAAGATACGGTGACGTAGACTATGCAATTAAGTTAGTCCGCAGGCTTCCAGTTCAGGATTCCTTTTCTCAGAGCTTTCTTATTTCCTGGTCTACCGGTCAGGGTAACAAAATTGAACTGAATTATTGAAAAGAATCAAATCTCTGGGGAAGAGAATATATTACTGATATCTAATAATTCGACATAAAAAGAGGGAGGCGCAGTTCGCTCTGAGGCAACTGCAAGCCTGCGCCATTTACAAAGTAGAACTTCAATGTCACTAGAGCAAAAAAACAAACGTACACAACGAATAAACGATAAAACAGCTAGGTAAGGCGTGCAACCAGAGCAATTCTCGAATTATTGTTATTCATTCTTATGACTGACGGAAAATTGGATAACATTGCATGCTAAACATCGGACGCATTCTAAGCATAAGGCAGCAATATTAGAAACGAAATAAATTCATGCATAAGGCAGCAAAATTAGAAACGAAATATATTCATGACGAGCTACCGAAGGTACTCTTTTTCTTTGAATTGAATAATTGACGCACTTGAAAATATTTTATTTTCAAGAAGTCATATATCAGTAAAGTAACGTGACTGTTTGTGTGAACATTTTTTTGTGAGTACAATTGTAAACAACATGTCAGGATAGTTCTTTCGAAAGATATGTGAGTGCGGTTACGAAACTGTAAAGGTGGACATAAAATATCCTGTAAACTCCTAATATTTTGTCGTGGTTTTTTCGAACCTCAGCAATCGCGTCCTCAATCAGAGTTTTTTTCTTTCGTCAAGGAAAGACCTACTAAAAAGCTGCTGCAATGCTAGTCATATTATAAACAGAGCATAATACCAAGGCAGAGTACAATATGGAGTTTCTCTTCAGTCGAGTGTTCAACTCGATATCTCATGTGTGGATACAGCGAACGAGTGAGATCTCGAGTTTAGCACGAGAAAAGAAATTCTATATCTAAAAGCAACCATGTATTATTTTGTTAATTGTGTAAACACCATAGGTCCTTTCTGACCAGAAAAGTCGACTTTGACTTCAGTTAATCTGGCGTTGTGGCGAGCGGTTGACACGTTACTATTGGGTAGCTGCCGTTATAATTTCACTGAGAGTTGTTGGCTCATACCCTTCGCTAGACTTTTTCCGCACCGACATAATAAATCTGCTAAGCAACAAATCCGGCTCCGATTGCCGATTTTCTTTTTCAGACGCGAGCCGCAAGCTACAAGTCATTTTCGATATCCTTTTTTTTCGTGTCTTAGTCTTCCTTCGCTTCTAGAAGACTTTGAAAGTCACCACACGTCTGTAAAGCCCTTTCTTCCCTTTCTAAATTATTACAATATACCACGCAACTCCAGCTTTAAAAGCAAATTCCAAGGGAAATTATCTTTTCATAAATAAACGGAAAAACTTCATTAGATGAGCTTTTGCAGTTGGAATCTTTATTTGAATCACCATCAATAACGAATTTCCATTCAGGATTACTTTCAAACGAGCAATCAAACCGTACAGAATCTAAACAAAAACCTTTGACATCGTCAAGGGCAACTGTGGTGGATTACAGAATTATCTTTACATTATGTGAGAAAACCTTCAAACATCTTTAATTTTCTTCATCAAAACGACTGGCTGTTTGTCTTTGTTATGAAAATGAGTGACTTCACATCTATCATTTATAGCACTCAATGAAACTAGTTCTCTACTCCAGAGAACATCACTTCTCAACCACTTTAAGAAAATATTAGTTTCCATTGCCGATTAAGCCATGGATGAAACCGCGGTAAAAACCTCCTGGACTGCGATAGTTTTGACCTGTCAAAACAAAACGAGTGCAAGTTTTCTCCAGACAGGTAAAACATTGTTAAGAGCTTACAGTCTGTTTTAATTGTGGTTCGCGTAACAGGTCCTCACTGAACAAGCGAGGATTAGTTCGAGAGCTCTTGTTCAAAATAAATAAATTACCATTCAGCATGAACATTACACGGAATTTCTATTTTGCGGATTGGCGATTCTTCTTGTCTTGCGAGAACAAATTTTAGTGGGTAAAGGTCACTGAACTTTCTAAAGGAAAGTGATTTTTGCGATTCTTGTTTGAGCAGCCATACATGAAAAACATTGACAGGGAGAAGATTCTTTTTTGCTTATCAATTGCGTTTAGTGTACTCCGTTTAGATAAGAACCCATTTCGGTGTCGTTTCAAAAATGTAACTTGGCACAACTGCATTGCTCAAGTGAGTTGAGCGTGTCTAAGCAACCGCAGACTATCATGTCTTTACAAAAATTTATGTATACTTATGTACGATGCATAAGAAAAGAACTTTCTTTGTCCTCACTTTAACGCGTATGCTAGCCATTCGACAAATATTAGGGTTCAAATGTCATGAAATCTTCAAGCAATATATTGCACTTTCTGTCGGTATACTGACATAATAACACTCTTGGCATGTTGGGAGAACAGGAGCAAAATTTTTTAAATCACGAGCCGGAGCCGAGTGATTTACAAACGATTCTCGTCCTTTCCCAACATCCCAAGTGTGTTACTATACCGGCGATCATATAGAAATTTCTGTCTATTACCATTATTAAATAAACTTCAAATTTCTTCGGGCTAACCGGTACAAAAAGTAAGTGTTCATAACTGTTGAAACATTTTCTCCGACAGAACTTGAACTTCGTCAAAGTAAGGGATTGATTAGCAAAGATACACTGGTGTTGGCTCTTGAGGACCCCAGAGGGGGTGTTGGAAGTGGTGGGGCTACGCTGAATGCTTTGTTAGTTGTCACTGAGCATCTTAGCGCTAAAGCTGGTTTTCAGGTTTGGGTCAAATAATGTCTTCTTTTCCTTCTAATGAGTAATCTACTGTAAAGGGTTTGGTGGCAAACAAACAAAGTGGTCATTCAGGACTTATGCACAACTTGCTGGCGTCTTGTGCAACAATATTCGATGGGCACACAATCATTTTAAATGTCTTAACTCAGAAGTGGCGAGGTGACCGCTCAATAACCGAAGTAAACTAAATAGATGAGTGCCGGACAAAACATGAAAAGTAGAGGGACTTAATTACTATTTCGAGTTCTTCTACAAATTTGAGGGCATTAGAAACGTCACCGCTGGTAAGGACTCTGTCAATATACCTCTTAAAAATAAATCGATTTTTTGGCGTTGTGTTTGGCAAAAAGCGAAATAAATCACGGTACGGACTAATGTTCCTCAGGTTCTTATTTGTGTTGATAAACGCATTTGATAACTACTTGTACTCTTTCAGGTCGCTAATGAAAGTGTTCTAGAGAACGCAAACATTCTTCTAATGCACATGGTAAGTGATGTTTATATCTAACAGGGTGCGTTTTACAAAGAGCATGATCAGGGGAACGATTACATTCTCCAATAAGAACTCAGAAGCGACCTGGAAACATTCATTCATTTGGTAACGATATTTCATGTTAAAGCTTCTTATTTCTCTACACTGTGACTAAGGGAGTATTTATTAGGCGTTGTAAGTGGCTACGCAACTAGCGATTTGAAGAGGAGCAGATCATCTTTCTTTAGCAAGCGCTGCTTTGAGTCGGCTCTTGCGAACTTACTTCGCAGAAGAGTTCTTAAGACGAGAGAGAAATGGCCCGTGATCCACCATTTTTGCCTCACTGCAGTTGCTTATGTGGATTTTTCATCGGCATGTCTTAGTTCAAACTTACTAACAAATCACTTCCGTAGTCTGCAAACCCTCTCTTTCAAAATGTGGCCAAGCTTAAACATTTCTGATGAAAATTAGTTTTGATTCTTTGAGAGTAAAGAATCATTTTCCTATCCAAAACTGTGCACTTGCTCTCGAATTAAAACAGAAGTGTTGCGCCTTTTGGGAAATGGCTAAGTGATTGGCAGAGTCAGGACCGTACAAAAATAATTGAAGACGTTTTATTTCATTTTCCTTTCTAACAGAAGGGTGGGGATTTTCCATTTAGTCCTTGTGGAAGATTCTTTAACACTCTACCTGCTAAACATTCGGAAGAATCAAAAGAGAATCTGTACGATGCTCTGGTGACAAACTTCGACTACATGCTCCATGTTATCTCAGAGACGGTGAGACAGTGTGTGTGGTAAAGTATTTCTATGATGCGTTTACATCCAAAGGGGAAGTCTGCTTCGGGAACCGTGCAGTATTTATCTTCGTTGTCAAAAAGTATTTTCAAAAATCTACTATTTACTGCGTTTTTAGATTCCAAAGTGCAATCTAAAGGTCTCCATATTGTCTCCCAACGTGACAAAATTTCAGTTATGGACGCCGCCAATTTTGCAAAGAACTCGGTAACCTAGCCGCTCACGCAAATCAATCAACACGCAGTTCATGAACAGCTACTGCTTTCTAAATAGTCCCCTCCCCCCCCCTTTAAAAAAAACAGTTTTTGAATAAATAATATTGTTTAAGGAGCATACGTGGCAGGCCTTTTGATAAAGATAAATATAAAGACCTATTATGGCTAAAGAGAATAATCTAATGAAATACTTTTCAGCGGCTTGGAAACTTGGGTTTGTAAAATGGGACTACTTCTGTTAACTTTATATTAAGTTTCTTCTTTAAATAGCTATCGGCAAACGTCCCTGCGGGAGTGTGGATTTGTAGTGCAGATATGCTTCCGTCCGTGGATCCTCAAAAAAGTAAGTACAAAAATTAAATAAAACAAACAAATGCAAGAAAATTGAACGTGAGCATTTCTTGGAAAACTTGATAATTGCAGGTACATCAAAGTTATTTAAACATTGGACATATGTGTAGCTTTGTGCAACTTTACACGCATTTCCGTCTAATTCGCTGTCGTTACTCCTAAGGAATTGATTGGAACAAGCTTTCAGATGAAATTATCGTGATTCTCTCTCAAGAAAATGTGCAATATGCAAAGGATCACGGGGTTGTGAAACTGGGAGAGGAGGTATGGCTGACAAATCTTTTGAAGGGTAATTTATCTACTGGAAAGCTTTTCATGGTATCAGTTATTTGAACCAAAATTAAAAAGCAGGTTTTTCCCTTTGTTCTTTTCCAGGGCAAAGTAAAAGATATAATATTTCGAGAAACTGAAGACGAAATAAGAAAAT